GTTTTCATCTCATTCTCCCTATTTTCTCTCCCACACTCTTTCTCTCCCTATTTTCTCTCACCGTTACTCTCTCTCTCTCTTTATATCAAAATTACATCAATCAATTACAATTGTATTATATTACACCAAATAATTACTCATGTGATCTGATAAACCAAACAGTTTCATCAAATAATTACACAAAATTACGACTCCAACTCAATTTGTCGTTCAGTTGTTTACATAAACCAAAAAGTTATATCATTTAGTATCACGACATGGTTACAACAATTATATGCACTAAATTTAGTGTAATGGTAAACTCTTTTGTGTAATGATAAATTCAATTTGATGTATATAATTGATAAAATAATTGGAACACTATTAATTTTTTTTTAAAAAAGTTAAGGGGGAATGAGATAAATAGGTCATAATTTTATTACCATTATAGTGTACATTTGATAATTCCTCAAAAGTCAGTGAGAGCATACATCTGCCCTTGGCTTCACTCATTTGCACCACAGAAGAGCTCACACAAGCTCTTCTATGTCACACTTACGAGTTTTCTACACCATCAATATATATTGATTTTGCCATTGACAAAGCAAGAGAGAGAAAGAAAGAGACTAGTAGATGATCTAGGTCCAAGACTAGTCTAGTTATTTTTGGGGTTGCAAGTTAATTTAAGTAACTTTAAGGATATGGTGGGCATTTAAGTTAAAAAAACTGAGGGTAACATAGAAAGTTTGGCATTTTACTTTAAATGGAGAATGTGGCCATGGACCATGGTACCCATAACCTAACCTAACCCAACCCAACCCTTGAAGGAAGTAAGGGTCACAGAATTGAAGTCAGCGCAAGAGTTGGTCGACCAATGTGGCATTTGACCAGTAGTGCCCGTAATTTGATGCCTTCAATGACATGACAATATCCTGTTGGTCAAAATTCTATATCCTTCATAACCCATTCCCATAGTGAGGAAGGCAAATACAATATTGGTTCCCTGCAAATCATGCAAGAAGAGAATATATTCCGATCCTTTATAGGCAGCTAGAAAACGTGACACTGAGAGCTAGCTGGTGGGATGGCAAAACTAATGAGAGAAGAAGAAAAAAGAAATATGGATCATATCAGGGGGGGAGGTAAATTGAGTGGACTGATCAGCTAATTGAGTGAATTTATATATGTGGCAGTTGGAATCTGATCAATCACTATAAATCAAGGAAGAGAGGTCTTACATGAAGATAAGAGCCTTGTTTGGTAGCCAATGATGACTTGCCTGACTCCTCCATTCAAAGCCCGTCTCAATCAAGACCCTTAATTGCTTGGTTTCAGGCAGTCATCTTGGCTAACTTGACACTCTCTTTTCGATCATGCTAGACCTTCTCTTCTTCCCCTACTAGCACTGGATATCACCTTGTGGATTGGACATGATTTTGCATAGGATACGCAGAAATTAATGTGTTTAATCAAGGTATGTTAGATCTGAGAGTATGGGTCTCTTGTTTGCACATCTCTCTCTCTTTCTAGATCTCCTTGAATAAACTTGCCACTACTTTGAGATCTTGATAGCATGCAAATGAGCCTAGCCAAGAAATAATTTGCTCGAGCTTGGTACGAAATTTAAACGAACTTCAAAGAAAGTTCTAACTTAACTCATTATTATCTATAAATTGATTGTGAACAATTTGTTGTTGAATTGATTATAAACCAAACTCAAGTAACTAAAATTTTTCTATAGTAATAATGCAAATTAGCTTATCAAGGCGATCGAATTGAACCCAAAAAAATTGACAAACTTAATACGCAAGCTTGACTCTTTATCACTTGAGCTGATCATCTTGAACAAATCTTAACACCCCAATCTTGAGTCAAGCTGGATTAATTCAATTTTCTTTTATATACAGTCCTTGGTCTATCTTGGCGGGGAGACCCCATCTATCTTGGCATAAAGACATCCCTTCAAGGGTTTCCTGTTGAATGATCTTGTCATATCGTGATTCATCATCTTTTAGCTAGCTACCCCTTCTGGCTTCTGCAAAGATATAGCAAGACTCATTTAGAATTCTTGCCATGATATTCTCCAAATCTATCTTCATTACACTGCACAACAATACCCTCCCACAAAAGAGATGCCAAAAAAGAAAGAAGAAAAACATGTTTCAAATTACTTGGATTTTCAGGACAAAAAATATACTTGATATTCATTGGTTGTGCGGTGCCATTCAGACGGGTTGAGATGTTGGTTAGAGCTCATCCTTATCCAAATTATAAATCTCCCAAATCCAGTTTAACCCAAATTCAAATTCCACTCACATCTTTCAATCTTAGTTTGTCCCATGCACTAGATCGCTATTACCTAGGGCTCCCAAATGGAAAAAAAAAAAAAAAAATTGGGGCCCCAATACAAACCTGTGTACAATATTATTAGACTTAATTTTTGGGTTTAATTTGAAAACTTAGGCATTTTGATCATTGAATTAATAATAGAGACTAACATTGAATAAGTTCACTAACAATTAAATCACCACAATTTACTAGGTGTCAAAATTAGGTCCCTAGATTAAATACAAGTAATATTCTTAGAGTTTCTTACAAAAATATTTAGGGTTCTAGAATTCGAACTGATTTTTTTTTTAATCTTGCCCAATGTTTATTATATACGAAAAATCACCTAATAATATATTTTTCCACCTTATTATCAAAACTATTTAATTTATTGTGTATCAATTAATAGTTATAAATTATAAGTTTATATTTTATTCAAATTAAATTTTAGGTCACTTCAAATTTATGATTTAATTATTTTTATAAAATGCATAAAATGACTATAAAATGAATTGAATAGAAGTACCTCATTATCTGAAATTAATTGTAACCATAGTTGTGTTGCAAAATTTTTTTGTTAAAACATTTTTTTGGATCTCTGCTATATTAAAACATGCTCCACATATTTTAATATAATTTAACTCACAAATTTTAACTTTCACATTCTTTTTGAAAAAATTCATTTTGTTAGCTAGTCTAAATTTTTATTTTCATTCTCTTTCTCTTTATCTTCAATCAATAACTAGTTTAATTACATTTGGTCAAGAATTTGACTTTGTTAATTGAATTTTAATGTATAAAACTCAAGTTCAAAAATTCAATAAAGATTTCTAATTCTCAAAAGGGCAAAAAAAAAAAGTTAAATAAACATAATCAATTTTTGACAATTATTTTTTATTATTTACACTATTGTAAAATATATTAATAGGGCCTAATTTAAAATTTTTTGCCCAGGGCCCCCTCATATGTCGGGGTGCCCTAATTTGTCCCATGATTAATTTTTAAATTGGGTTGAACTATTTTTAAACTTGAGTTCCACAGTTTGAGTTGATATTTGGATTTTCACTGTGTTAGGTGTTACACAATTCTGACTAGAATTTAGGTTTAATTTGGATTCAACTTGATTGAAGTTAAACTTGAATCTTAGACTATGCAATTTGGGTTAAAATTCAAGTTTAACTACGATTAGACCTAAATTAGGATGGATTTCTATAAATCATGGCTTTAATTCGAGTATTACTTGAGTTTAAATTGAATAGAAAAATCTTTTGCCCAAAGTCCAAGTAAAAATCCTTACCTAAGCTGTAACTTTTTTATATCAGTAGCATCCGAGACAAATTCGAGTTAGTTGGCTCAAATTTGCATATCCCTAGAATTCATGTTGCCAAAAAATTAGGGAATTTTTTAAGAGACGGTAGAGGACTTTATATCCATAACTATTCTCAACTTTTTACTTATGTTTGTGTTTGTTAAACGACGTCGTTTGAATCCGGAAATTGAACAAAAAGGAGTATTACACCTAGACCCCTTGAGATTTTTTATTTAATCACTCCAACCTCTGATATTTAAAATATTATACACAGACCCCTTAAAGTTTGTACGCACGTAACGTTTAGACCCCAACAGGAAATATACCAGTTAATAAATTATATTTAGACCCCCTAAAGTTTATAAATATATAATATTTACACTGCTTAAATTTAAAATATTATACTGAGATAAAAAATATTCTAATGAAAGATAAAATATCAAATATTTTAAATTTTACAAAAAAAATTCATATTCTATTATATCATTTATTGAAATAAAATTAAAAATAAAAATTCAATTTTTTCTTAAAAAATTATAATTATTATATAATTATATTGTCTATTGAAATTTAATTTGGTTGTTTAAACGACCAAATTAAGATACCAAATTACCCCAATTAAAGCTAAAATATATTGTTTCCATTACAATTTAGCCTATTGTTTAATTTTTAGTTTTATTCTAATAGATAATATAATTATAAAATAACTATGATTTTTTTAAAAAAACTAGACTTTTACTTTTGATTTTATTTCAATAAATGACACAATATAGCATGAATTTTAGATGTAAAATTCATGTTCTATTATGAATGACTTAGACCCCTTATTTTATTTTTTAGTTTTATTCCAATAGATAGTATAATTGTATACTAATTATGATTTTTTTAAAAAGAATTAAATTTTTAATTTTAATTTTATTTCAATAAATAATACAATAGAACATAAATTTTGATTGTAAAATTTAAAATATTTGATTTTCTTTTTTTGATTAGAGTATTTTTGGTATAACACAATATTTTAAACTTAAAGGGTCTAAATATTATATATTTGTAAATTTTAAGGGGTCTAAGTATAATTTATTAATTGATATATTTATGGTCTAAGTGTTACGTGTACAAATTTTAGAGAGTTTATGTGTAATATTTTAAATGTCAAGAAATCTAAGTGATTAAGTGACAAATTTTAGAGGCCCGGATGTAATTCTCCCGTGAAAAAACAGAATGGAAATAAGCCGCCATTTTCCATTTGTCAACTGTGATCTCTCTCTGGTGTGGTCACAGTAGACACAAACCACGGTACGAACCCTACTTCTTGTTTCTTCTGTCTTGAAACATTTGTGTTGTGTTGGCAATCTGAGATCAAATAAATTCTCTAACTTGCCGAAGCTGAACATCAAGAACCATTCAACTATGGCGACCATGATCACTGGGTGGTTGATATTGGCACTGCTAGCTCTGCTCTCGTTGTCTGCGTCGACGGTGGCGAGCTTGGATGCTCCATTCATCGTGGCGCACAAGAAGACCGCCCTGAATAGGCTCAAGTCCGGCGCCGAACGAATCTCCGTCTTCATGGACATCTACAACCAAGGATCTGCGTACGTCTCATCCAACTTTTCTAATTTTCATCACTGTGTGATTAGATCAAGGTCGGAATTGTTACGTCAAAAAGACGTCCAATTCGATTTTGGCTAACTGTTTGGACAAAGAATTGTTCACGTGCATGACCGTAATTTGGGTATAAGGTCAATAGCGTTGTATTGGTTTCTCCGGTTATTAGTCGTGTAAATAGCTTCTTTATTGTCTTCAACTTACACACGTCTTTATGTACTGGCTAAGATTATTTTTGTTGCGTAATGTTTTTTCTATTAGTTGTTACTGGTTAGACCCATTTTTTTTTTCGTGTTTGCTTTATTCGATTTGTTGTTGACAACAATTTTTTTATTTCAAAGATTTAAAATCATTAAGAAGTATAATTAGTTTAATCTGTTTTGGTAGCTGCATTTGCTAACAAACTCATCTGAGACATAAGCAATGTGACTTTCGAACAGAGATGGAGTTCTTATTTACAGAAAACAAACGAACAATCGGCACATTTTAGCTGTATATCCCTGAGATTGGTTCATTGATTGCCTCAGTGTGTATAGCCACAGAGTGTGGGAAAGCAAGGCAATTTTTTTTTTTTTGAGAAAAAATAATAATGGTAGATTATATCATGAATCTAGCAAAGCTAGCAGAGTTTTATTGGGCAAATAATTGAATTCAAGTATCTATCGTGTTGCGTGTAGAAGATTTTTGGCATTTGCTTAAGTTGCTTTAATTGAGGCGGCTATGCATGAATTGCTGCCACTCCAGAGCATAAAGTAGAAGAGGGACGGAGCAATGATGCAGAACATGGTTAACTGTTAAGTATATTAAGAGATGTTGAGTAAGTTGTTTTTATTGAGGTCTACTAAACAAGGTCACTCCACAATAGGCCAGGTTTTAGAATGGAAAAGAAGCCATGGAAAGAACTAAATTGGTCGTACATGATGAATGGATGGACAAGAAAAGGGATAGTCTTAGACTCTTGGATACGAATTTAGACTTGGAATTCGGAAGAATCTGAAATGCTCCCCCTCTGCATGGCATACAAGGTAGGATAGAGAAGAGGGTGGCTAGATAGATGTTCACTATGGGTGTGCTATAAATAGCTGACAGATGTTTGAGGCATCCCTTAACTAATGGAAGGTGGTTCCTCGTTAACTCCATTAGCTAGGCGAGGGTTCTGCCCCCTCCTATATAGTTGTCATGGCAGGATCTTGTCCTTTAAACAGAAGCATCTGTGTGGCCTTATGTACCAGACCATTGCAAAATATTGGGGTAGTAGTTTGTTGGAGTGGAGCCAAGTTCAAGGATATAAGGTTGGAGGAGAAGCTTATTGCAGAATAAATTTGCTAGAAAAGCAGGTGGAGGAAGTGTTAATGTGATTCTCTTACTATCAGAGCAATTGTTCTTTATAGTTTTAATGAATATATCACAATCCCTCAAATATTTGAAAATGTGATACCTTAACATCAGACCAATTGTTCTTTACAGTTTTAATGAATATATCATAATCCCTCAAATTTTTGAAAACTTAAGTGGACATTGTCAAGAGAACAGTTACAAGAAACGTGCTCTAAGTATCTGGTGTTCTGGCTGATATATGTTGTGACAAATGTTGAAAATTGACCTCTTCTGGCTTAAAGCTTCCAACATGCAGTATAATTTTTTGTAATCAGAGATCGCCTACTAATTGCAGCTTGTTCTGACCTCTGACTGCTGAAGTTGTTGATGGTACTGGATTAATCAAATTTTGGATGTTAACATTTTTCATATTTGTTTTAGAATTTGAAGTTACCTTGGAGGAGATTTGATTTATTTCAAATCAAAATTAACGTAAAGGAAAAATTGATTTCTTCAATGAAATCAGAATGAACTTTTGCTGTGGCTGTACTTCATTATTGTCAGTTGTGAAGAGTTTGATGAACTTCCGTGCAGAAGTTATAGCTGTTTTCAAGCAGAAACTTTGCTGTTTACATTTTCATCATTTCTGTTACTTGCTGAAACACAGTTGACTCTACTTGTTTATTGATGCTATCCTACCATTTTCTTTTTGAAAGGAAAAATGGTTCTATTGATTTAAAAGTAGTACTGATACTCTAGCATCACAAGTTCACTAGCAGGCATCATCAGGTTAAAACATGTAAAGGAAACCACTGATTGTGCTGAGGACCTATTTTGACCTTCAACTAACGTATACTGAATTGGTGTTCCTTACTCTCTTTGTATATTTAATCGGATTGGTTACCTGTATGTAGTCGTCCTCCAAAAATCATTCTTGTAGTTACCTAATGCATGTGGGACGAAGAGATTGCTGTCCAAGAGGACTAGTCAGGTGCTCCTAGAAAGCTTCCCCCGGGGGAAAGGGAGAAGAAGTAGAAAGAAGAAGGATGCTTAAAAAATAAGTGATAGAGATGCAGTTAGGCTTTACCTGATTTAGATGTCCAATGTGGATAGTATTTTTTTGGGATCTTGCACTAGATTATTATTAGTATTTGCTGCTTTTAGGATTTAGTCTATTAAAAATATGTTTTTATTATTATTTTATTAGATTCTTTGATTAAACAGTCATGTTTTTATAAATTGTTGTGTGCAGGACAGCTTATGACGTCAGTCTTACTGATGATAGCTGGTCCCAAGATTTATTTGAAGTCATCGCTGGTAACACTTCAATGTCATGGGAAAGGCTTGATGTGTAAGTTCTGGATTCCAATTATGCCAATTTGTGGCAATATGTTAGGGGACTCTTTACTATGTTAACTTCTGTACTTGGCAGTGGCGCTCTTCTGTCGCACTCTTTTGAATTGGAATCCAAAGTAAAAACACAGTTTTATGGTGCACCAGCAGTTATCACATTCCGCGTGCCCACAAAGGCTGCTCCACAGGTTTGACATTAGCTGCAGCTATACATTTGTTTGTGTAATGAGAGCAGACTATAATCTTTTCCATTTTCATCTAGGATGCCTACTCAACTCCAATTCTCCCTCTCGACATTCTAGCAGAAAGGCTTCCTGAAAAGAAGTTTGATTGGGTAAGTTTCTCACATTTCATAACTGTGTTGCTTCTTGCCAGTACACGCATTATTCTGTGTTCACTAAGAAGCACTGATGTTTTTTTTGCATGGAATGGCTTTTGACGGTGGCAAATCATCCCAGGCTAAGGTATGATTAAATCTTGTTATCATCATATTTTGTGACTCCAGGTTGCAGACATTATAAACAAATAATAAAATGTGCATCAGGTAAACTTGTAAATGCCACATTAGAGGTTGGTGGATTACGAACCACATGTGATAGACGGAGTGATAGCTGATAAGGTTTCATTTGATTATCCACCCTTCACTGCTAGTGGGGGTTTCTTACCCTTAGCCTTTACCTACCACGACTTGTGCTACTATGATATTTTGGATCATTCTTCTGAATGTGTTTGCCCGGTGGAGAATAGTTGTGCCTTTCCTTTAACTTTAACCATGACTCCTTTATGCGCATCTCTGAATAACTTATACGAAAGCTTTATGCTATTATCATGCTGTATTTGCAGAGATTATTGATGAAATTTGGACCCTTAATATCTGTGATCTCCATTGTGGTTCTGTTCGTATACTTGGTTGCCAGCCCATCTAAATCCAGTGCTGCAAAGGGAAGCAAGAAGAAGCGATAATCAGCACTAGGTGCTTTTGCAAACAACCAAAACCTTCCAATTTTGCTTTTGCTGGTCAAACAGCACTTCCCTGCTTATTTGTTCCATTTTGGACATGTTGTTTGTATAAACTTCTTAACAAATAATCGTTAGACGCATGAGATGAAGCCGCATGCTTGTCTGCCCTGCTTATCGGCTATCTTTGAGCAGTAGCTGTTGACATTGGAATTTTTTTTCACAGATTTAGGTTGCCTCCCAGAGATCTAACATTTGTGTGTATGATTTTTCATCATTACCTTCTGCTAGTTTTTGCATTGCACTGAAATGTTCTATTGGCCATTGGAGGGGGAGTCGCGGTGGGACCCATCCTTTGAGCTAGGCTAGGCGTCCATCCTTTGAATACTACTTTGATTTTGATACATATAACACAAGGACAATTAAGATGGAAGGTATCGGTGGTTAACATTTTGAGATGCTTAGTTTGAGTCTCAAAAAAAAATATCTTGGGGGTGTATTGTTGTTTTACATTTTCTCATGGATTATTGTTTTACATTTTTTATACACAATGGTCTAGAGGGGTGTTTGTTTCACGGGATTTTAGGTAATTAGAGTGGAGGGTTGGCTAAAAATGTTCTTAGGGCCCGTGTATCTTTCATTTGGTTCCAAAAATAGGGTATGATGAATATTGAGTTTGAAAAAATCGAGTCGTAGAAACTGAACAATTAATCCCTGCTAAAAGGATCTTTTTAACCCATGGGGCGTGAAGGATAAATTTATCGAATTTTCAACTAACATGATTTATAATTGACAAGGGATAACTCGTGCCTGAAGATTCGGTACAATATAAATTAATCAATTAATTTGGAAAAATAAAGAGTGAAGATCCCTAAGAATAGTGGCAGAGTCAAAAATATAATTTAGGGTTGACACATTTTAAGTATATTAGATAAGAATGGCGTGATATATTTATATTTTTTATATTAGATTTGATACTTAAAAATTTATTAAACTTAAAAAAGTCTATTTAAAAAAAATTAATAAGATAACATCTATACATTAAAGATCAATAATATAATTTATTTGATACAAATAAAAACAATATTGTATAACTTTTAATCTTTTTATAAATTTTATATTTTACTCATTTTTGACTATATATTCTATAATTTCTGAACCAAATGAGACTTTAACAAATCATCTCAATATTTTAAGGAATTAATTTTAGTTTACTAATTTTAAGAGATTTATTTTTGATCCAATTAATTTTGTTTTTCATAAATTATTACAGTGGACCCAACTAATTTAAAAAAATATATAAAAACATATAGAATTAAAAAAATATTTTCTTTTCAGGGTGGCCCAGACCCCTCCTCCCTTCGCCACTGCCAGATAAAGAGAGTGAAAAGTGAGAAAAATAAGGTAAAATTTAATATAAATGGTATTGAGACAGATATTGGTGGTCGTTTGATGAGTTTATTTGAGACCGTTGGATGGGCTTGTTGAACCTGCCTCGTTTTATATTATAAAATCCACAAAATATAATATAATTGACTTAAAAAAATTAATTTATATATACGTAATCAAAATCGAATATTAATTTATATACATGTAATCAAAATCGAGTCAAATTTAATACAAACTAAAAATCTAATTTATAAAAAAGCATATCGCCAAAATATTTTCTATCAAAAAAAGATATATAAATATCTTTTATAAAATATTATTTTTTAATTAGTACAAGTTATTACAAAATTATTGATTTAAAAGAATATATTACTGTTGGATTTCTTTAAGATATAAAAAAAAATAGTCTTGAATTTTTGATTCAAGATATGTATAAGACATGTTAGTTTGAGATAATTAATTATATTCAATATAAATGTGTTAAACAACATCCTTATTTTTGTTTTATCCTAAATAAATTGATGAGCTTTTTTTAATCAAAATGTTATCATTGTATCTTATACAAATTTAAAATATTACACTACACAGATGATATTAATAGCAAATTTGACCCATTTAATTATTATGTCAGAGAAAATCCTGTATTCCAAGATTAGTCTTAATCGTTGACTGGTGGAAAGAGAAAATATTAAGGAAAAAAATGTTAATTTTTTGAGCGTTTTATGAATGAATTTGAGACGCCAAGATGTACTCCAATATTAGCGGTAATTGTTGACTGGTTGAGAGGGGAAATATTAAGGAAAAAATGGTAATCTCTTGAAAGTTGGATGAATGAATTTGAAACTGTAGGACGGACTTGTAGAAGACGTCCTATATAGATTTGACACAAATAAAAGCAATATTCTACATATTTTTTTAATTACAAATTCTATATTTTACTCATTTGGTTATACATTCCATATTTTTTGAACCAAATGAGGTTTCAACAAATCATATCAATACTCTAAATAATCAATTTTAGTTTACTAATTTTAAAAAATTGGTATGAACTTTTTGCTTTTTTTTTTTTTTTATAGTACCCAACTTGTTTGACCTAATTAATTTTGTTTCTCATAAATCATTGTAATGGGCCCAATTAATCCAAAAAAATATATATTTTTTCAGGGTGCCCTAGACCCCTCTCCCTTTGTCACTGCTAGAGAGAGAGAGTGAAGAGTGAAAAGAGGTGGGTAAATTCAATATAAATGATTTTGAGAGAGATGTTGGTGGCCATTAAATAAATGAATTTTATACCGTAGCATAAGTCTGTTGAAATCGTCCTATTTTATATTATGGGTATTATATATAAATCTACGAAATATGATAAAATTAACTTAAAAAAATGTTAATTTATATACATGTAATCAAAATTGAGTTAAATTTAATACAAACTAAAAATTTAATTTATTAAAAAACATATCGCTAAAATATTTTTTATCAAAAAAAGATCTATCAAATATCATTTTTTAATTAGTACAAGCTATTACAAAATTATTAATTTAAAAAAATATATTAGTGTTGGGTTTCCTTAAGATATAAAAAAAAAATTAGTCTTGAATTTTTGATTCAAAATATGTATAAAAAATGTCTGTTTGAGATAATTAATTAAATAAATAAAATTAAAATTAATTATATTCAATATAAATGTATTAAGCAACGCCCTTGTTTTTGTTTTATCATTGTGTTTTATACAAATTCAAAATATTACAGTACACAGAAGATAGTAATGGTTAATTTGATCCATTTAATTATTATGTCAGAGAAAATTCTATATTCTAAAATCAGTCGTAATCGTTAACTTTTTAAAGGGGAAAATATTAAGAAAAAAATTATAATTTCTTGACAGTTGGAAGAATGAATTTGAGACCGTAGGATGTGTTCCAAGATCAGTCGTAATAATTGACTTTTGGGGGGGAGGAAATATTAAAGAAAACAATTGTAATTTCTTGACCGTAAGATAAATGAATTTGAAACCATAGGATCGATTTGTTGAAAGCACTCTCTTTTATATTATAGATTTTATCACAAAGCCCTTATATGGTTGTTTCTAGGGTTTTATATACAAAGCATAATAATAAATTATGGGGTTTTTAGAAGGCGGTACACATAATTAGACTTATTTGACAAAAAGTACATATTAAAAAATATTTTAGAAAAAGATACACTAATCAGATACAAACACATAAATGCTCATTTTAGGGAAAATTGTGCATTAAATATCTCATAGTTTTATGAGAGAATTTTAATATTTAATTCACATTGATTCATGTGTATTTGTTAATATATATATAAAAGTACATATACAAGTATGTATATACGTGTAAAGTGTAATATTAAAAGTAGAAAGTGTAACATAAAGTAGAAAGTGTAAAATATTACATTATGTCTCACCTTACTTAATGGAAAGTGTAAAATGTTACATGTTAACATTGAAAGTGTAATACTTTCACATTTTCTCAATTAATTAGCATTTTTAGTGTAAGATGAGACATGTATATTCTGTTTGTGTAACACTCTATATAATGTCTCCTTTTACCTTGCATAAATAGTTTGTTACATTATTATTACTACACTGTTATTGTTATTTTCAATATTACTCTAATTAGTCCAATCAAGCCTAATCCAACAACAATGGGCTTACTGTTACCCGGTTGATTCTCAGGCCCAACTACATTCCCTCGCCCCTGTGGCTCTTGCCTTCCACACAAAACAATAAGGAAGAATTATATTACACGTCTTGTGTGTTGTCGCTTAATTATTCTGATTCTTTTATTTTAAGAGATAATATTTTTATTATGATTGACTTAGACCCCTTATTTGATTTTTTTTATTTTATTTTATTTTAATAGATAGTATAATTATATATTAATAATAATTTTTTTAAAAAAAATTAAATTTTTATTTTTGATTTTATTTCAATAAATGATATAATAAAACATAAGTTTTGATTGTAAAATTTAAAATATTTAATATTCTATTTATGATTGAATTATTTTTTATTTAAATATAACATTTTAAATTTGAGGGGTTTAAGTATTATATGTTTATATATTTTAAGGGGTCTGAGTTTAATTTACTATCGGATATATTAATAAACATTGAGTTTAAGTGTTACGTGCGTATAAATTGTAAAGAGTTTGTATGTAATAATTTAAATATCAAAGAGTTTAATTAATTAAATTGACAAACTTTAGGAATCTAAGCGTAATTCTCCCAAACAAAAACGATTCCCAATATGCCCGCAGAGGAACAGCACTCCTTGTCAACTTCTTAATGTTGTTTTGATCCAGCATATTCGAGACTCGATCTGCGGCCCACCCTGAAATTCAATCAGTTTCTGCAGGTGGTCGACGCTTCTCATCTCACGAGAGAAGAGAACAGAAGAAGCAGCTGTGCTCAACTTTCCGCAATGACCACCCCTTCGCGTCAATATGTAAGTGCGTCTCTCTATACCTAATTTCCTTTCTTTTTTTTTTTTTCCTCTTTTCAATTCTTCTTCTGTATTGCAGTTGTAATTTGATCGTATTCTAAGTGTTCTTTGGTTAGTTGTAAATCACCTCATTCTCAAAAATCTGCTAAGCGTGCGTCCATCAGGCTCAATTCCCTGCCCTGCATCTGCTTGAGATTGTGAGTTTAAAAATTGAACTAAATTCTTCATCTAACTTGCGTGCACAAGAAAGTCTGTTACCTATCGTCACAAATCCGTGTTGTGAATATCAAATCCCTGCATCTTATTGTGTGTGGATTGAATATTCCTTTTATTACGCTGTGGTATACTTCGTTATTCAAGATTCAAGCAATTGTTTGATATAAGGACTTTGCTTTGCAAATCCTGGGGAAAAAAAAATTTTACTTGCGGAGCAAAGGAATAGTGATGGAGGAGAAGAATTAGCAATTATTTTATTTTTTATTTTTATTTATTTATTTATTATTATTTTGCTATCTTTTTGATTAAATTTCTTTTTTATATTAGTATTGTTATTCTATTAGGAATAGTATTCTTAATTGTATTAGGAATCTTATTACTTTTAAGAATAGTTTTCATATGCTATTAAGACTTGGAATTCTTTGGCCTTCCCTGCAAGGAGTAAGACTTTGGTACTCAGCCTTTACAATTGGGGTATCTTTTTATTCAATATTATTGATTTTATTTTCTTTGAGAGCGTGTTTTTAATTTTGATGTGCCAAGTCTTTTTTGAGTATCGACGTTGGTCATATTTTTATTATTTTTACTGTGTTCCACTGCATCAAGTGGTCATACTTTTCTTGACCAAGGTTTCATCAGCCAAAAGTCTAATTCAAAACATCAGCATAAAAAAGCCTAGTTAATTACATCTAAATGCCAAAACAGTAGTGTAGCGTGTCTTTATTACAAAACAATCTACAATCCCAACAATTTAGATGGCCTTTGGTAATAACCTGTTTTTTATTTTTTTTTCGTTTTTGTTTTTTTTTTTTTTATGGTTAAAAAAAATAAAAATACGTTTTGTGAATGTTTTTATTTTTTTTTTAACATCTCCGTTTTAAAAACAATGTAAAAATATAGAAATATCCAAAAGGATATTTTTGAAAACTTCCAAAAAAAAAAACATACACGCAGTTTTTAACTGGGTCTTGACTTCGATAAAAAAAAAATGAATTTTTTCTGTTGGGTATAAAAGATTATCTCTCTTTTAGGTTTCACCTCTCTCAGTCTGTTGTTTCTCTGTCTCTCTCAATGCCAATGACGAAGACGAAGGCAAAGCTGAAGCCATTGTCATCGCCATTCGCTGCGAAGCCATTGCTCCATCTCCAAGGTCACTCCATCTTCATTTTCCTCCATTTTTTCTGGTTTCTCTCTCTCTCGCCCTTATCTGATGGTGGGTTTCTAGGGTTGTGGGGTTGGATGGTGGGTTTTGCTTGGGAGTTTCAGGGGTGGATTTTTGAGGTAGGTAGTGGGTTGTGGTGGTGGGGGTTGGATTGAGAATGAGTTTCGGTGGTGGTGGAGATGGATTTCAGTGGTTGGATTGGTGGTGGATTTTGGTGGTTGTGGTGATGGGTTTCGGTGGTGGTGGGGGTGAATTTCGATGATTGTGGTGGTGGGTTTCAGTGTTGGGGGTGGGTTGTGGGTTTCGATGGTGAGATTAGGGGTGGGTTTCGGTGGTGGGGTTAGGTGGTCAACGGGGTTGGGTGGGGGGTTTTGGGCGGTGAATTTTTGGTATAATATCAAACAGGTTTTTTTTTTTATTTTCATAATTTTTTAAATATAAATGACTATCATGTTTTATATTTTTAATTTTTATCACAAAAAAAATAAAACTTAATTCTATTTTTCTTTTAAAAAAAAAAAAACATAAAAACATTACCAAACACACTCTTATATTTACATAAATGACAAAAATTTGAACAAGAAAAGAAATCTGAAACAAAAGATGACCTCTCATGGCAAGGATAAACTAAATCTGAGAGAAACTTAAATAAACATGGGAAATTCACTATCAGATGATATAGCTGTGTTATGCAACTGGTGGTACTGGTATTCCGGATGCTTCGAAACCGGAAAGACTTTCAAATAGATGGTGAGATGCTTTCTCATAATTAACAAAACCCATGAACCAGAAATCATGGCCATCGATTGTGACAATCTGGATGTATTTTTCTGGAGGATTTTCTCTCATGATTACGGGGTTGATGGTGCAGATATTTCCCAAAGGTACCATAACCTGTAAGTAAGATAATCTTAAGTAAAAGCAAAATAAAGATTGTTCTGGTTATTTGGGATTGGCTTTATCAATTCTTTTGCAATATGTTGTTTTATCATCTAGGGGGTGTAATTTAGACTTGGACGGATTAACTCGAATTCAATCCAAAAAAAATAAAACTTGAGTTGAAATTTTTAATACTTGAGTTAGACTTGAATAAAAAAAATCAACCATGAATAGAAAATATGCGAGTTGAGGTCAGGGATTGTCGGATAATATTAAATGGAACTCAACTCAATCATATTGCAAAATAAATATATAAATCAACTGGGTTAGTCTTCAGTGACAATAAATATATAAATCAACTAGGTTAGTCTTCAGTGGTCGTCTCCCTCATTCAGACCTTAGACCGTCACTCTCTCTGCCTTCCTCATTCAGACCGTCACTCTCTCAGCCTCCCTCTCTTAGACACCTCCCTCACTCAGACGCTTCCCTCTCACTCCGTCTCTCAGCCTCTCTGATAGGCATTGACACTCAATCACCATCAACGATCGACCAAAGCCCTTCAACTGCTCCTCTTAGATATGCGTCTCACTCAGACCATCACTCCCGATCTGTCAGATTTGTTACATTTGAGTAAAAAACTTGATTTAATATAAAGGATTCTAATAGAAAAACTCAAATTTAAAGAAGTAGGGATTCAAATTTAAATAAGGACAAACTCAAATTTAAAGAAAATAAGGATGATCATTAGATCTTTAAAAGATTGTGAAATTTTACCATTAAAAATTTGAGGAAAGATTTGAGTCTCCTTTAATTTGAACAAAAAAATGAATTTGCTTTGATTTAATTTAAATTTAAATCAAGGATTGAAGTAAATTTTTTAGACGTGTTTACTCAAATTTAAATGAGTTTAAATTTGAGTAAGGGTTAGAGATGCCCTAGACCGATTTCATGTTTAAACAAATTTATCTCGAATTTTAACTTGATATCAATCTAAATTAAGTAATTCGAATTCAATCTGAATCCGTCCAAATTTAATTTGGAAATTTGGACAGTACTCGCATTGAGGTCGGGTTAGAGTTAAAATTAAAATTAAGATTAAAGATTATATACTTAAGGTTGACCTTTCAATCCGTCCGAATTGCACCCCTGTTATGATTGGTTTTATGTCGATTTTCACTACTTTGTTTTATTTTCTATGACCCCCTTGTATTACCTTGTAATAGCTCCAAGTCTCCTGGCCAGAGGGTGCAGTGAACGATAAGGGGCGGTCGCTGCAGAAAGCTGCATGAACATTTGACAAATAGAGAGTTCCGGCTACTGGTCCAGTTGATGTAGACAGATAGCAGGCAAATGATTTCTTTAGGTTTTCGTTCGGGAAGGTCGTAAATGTCTGCTTGTACAGTGATTCGAAGCCGCCTCCGGTGATTGCTTTGGCTGTCAGGTTCACCTTCGCCCATGCAACTCCACGCACAGATGATCCTTGTTTGACTAATAAAAGCAAAAAAATTGACAAATATTCAGATTGAATCAGGCATGTCTATGGGTAGATAGATGGTGGATTTAGATTCTAATTTTTGTCAAACGGAGAATAAAATTTTCACTTACGGTTGTGCCAGATATTGTTGGCTGAGGCTTCTGCCTTACTGCTCCATGTGTTGAACTTTTGAAGAACGGATGCCATAGGACTGCTGCTTGGCTTTTCAATGGGGGTATATTGGAGGTAGGGGTAATGGTGGTATTGAAACTGGTGTTGATCATCGACACTCCATAGGGCTGCCTTCTGATTATTTGGATGGCATGTGGGCACAGCAGGTGCTCCCATAATGTGAGTCCCCCATTTTTCGGCACTAGGAGACAAAGATGACGATCCAGTTTGAGGAGGTTGTTTTCCTTCGGTGTTTGGTGCTGAGATTAACACTGAGGATGATGGTGGCTGACCATGGGCTGTATCTTTTGTGGTGGGGGAGAGCAAGGTGGGGTATTGGGGTTGTGATTCGTCTTCTGGTTTGCCGTTCATCGTGGTTGGATGTCTTTGAAGGGGATGATAGAGACTATTGATTCTGGGAGTTCTGCTTTGAGCTTACTTTGGATATATTTGCCTGATAATAATGCTCGAAGAGGTCTTATAATGGGGCGTACCCACCTGTGATGCCGTTGTATGGTATTTTCAAAGGTACTTGAGCGAAAAGTTTGACTTTTGAATCTAAATGTATTACTATTAAAAGATGAAGACTCGGTTGCTTCTACGTGTTATTCCAAAAGCCTTTCTCTTGCTTTTTACGTTATGCACCTATTCTTTATAATTCATAATCAACCTTGGCTTCTAGATATCCACAACCACGTGATGGTGTGTCACCATGACATGACGTGCACTACGAATTCTCGCAGATAGGCTGAGGGGTGACATTTACTAATTTGATTGTTCAACCCATTTATAGCCTGTTCAGCCGGGTTGTTGATTGTCTCTTTAAGTTGTAGCTTCTTTCAACTGTTAAAAATCAGACATTACTAGTTTAACATTTTAATGGGAGGAGAAAATACATTTGGGATAAAATAAAGAGTGGCAGTTGAGAGGTTTGAAGGCTGGCATGCCACTAGAATAATGTGTACACAAATCAGCAAAAAGAATAATGAGTAATAAGAGTGCATTCAAGGCCCCGGCGCCCAACTCAACTGAGAGGCTTAACCTGATCTGAGAAGTGTTAATTCGGTTCGGATAGATTTCATTTAAGAATGCTGCTGCTCCTGGAATCCAGAAGAAAATAAGTGCTAAATTTCATTATCAGTGAATAAACTAAAACGAAAGAAGAGAAGTTTCTTGCTCGGCGCCTAAAGCACACTATGCTCCACTTCAACATGTCAACCGACCATCAATCAATCCAGCAATGATAAGAGCGTTAATGCTCTAGTTTAGCAACTTATTACAACATCAGCAGTAGTTTCGAATTGTTAGAAATCCATAATAACTGACTTGATATTAATAACTTGAAAGGAAATCTAGTACACTGTTATGTATAAATAATATAGACTTGAAATCTATTAGAATATCATGCACGAAAGGCAGTATGTTTTGTGGTAAATAATTGTAAATTCAAGTGTAGATGCAACTCAGGCCAGTTGGCCAGGTTGGGCACACCAATGAGCCACGCACCACGCACCCTGCCAAAAGCTGAAGCCCAAACACATTGGCCTAATACTAGATGTTGCTCAATCAAAGGCAGTTCAAGTGAGCCACGATAGATATGGTCTTTAGTTGTATGATACTAAATGACTGTACAAATAAAATTTCATAGGGAAGACACGAGCCTCCGCTGAATATTCTGACTTCAAACCCCAACAAATCTGCATGCAATGGCAACTCAGGCTGTGGTTCAAACAATAATACCAATCTTGATGATGACATAAAACAACTACCAAGAATGAAACAAGAACATTGTGGCACCCAAAAGAGGAGTTTTTTAAGGTGCATTAGCGGTAAAGCAAGTCAACAGAGTCATATTTTGGATGGAGAATACACAGACTCATGAACATGCATAAAACTAGGGTTGTCCAAGGGCCCATCTAAAATGGATTACTTTGGCATATAGTTAGTAATCACCCAAAGGCACAGAGCTTTTCCAACCAGATTGAACAAAGATGTGCTGGGAGTTTGCTATCATTACCTTATCCACTTTTCTACACAATTTCAAATTAAAGATGCAAAATTGTCAAGCAAAAGGAGAAAACTCAAAGCATGAAGTAGGTTGGCATAGTCAACCATCAAGCTTCGTGACTATACAATAGACTAGAGACTGATTATGTGAAGTTATCAACTTTCAACGAACTTGAGATAAACATTGCCTTTTTCAGCATATTATACAAACCAAGTAACACTGCAACCCAGAACATCTTACCCAAACAGATTCAATCTAATAAACTAACTAAAGTTTTCAAATAACGCACCAACCTCTCAAACACGTTAACCACAGGAGTTTCCATGAGTGTAATCTCTGGGATAGAAGATTGTTATAGACAACCATATGTAGTGGGAAAAAGGGGCCTTTTATTTGGTGAAAGGCCTCTGAACTCTTTATTACATATGCAAGCCTCTCTCAAACTAAATGTTCAAAATGCTAAGTAAGCTTCCAAGCATTACATGTGTTAAGAAGTTGACTTAGCTACTGCATTTCCTATTTAGTTGCTGTAATTTTTCTTTTTCTGTTATGTTTTTTATTTATTGACTTGTTCTACTGCATTTTAGTCATCATTTCCATTTTTCTAGCTAAATTGTTAAACATGGAGGCATGTTCCATGGTTGAGCTGGAATATAGGAATTTCTGTTTTTTTTGAGCTCTATTTAAGCACATTTGCAGTTAATAAAAAAATAGATTACACTGAAATATTCTTCTCTTTCTCTGTTAATTCTTAGTTTGCTCCAACAAACTGGTATCAGAGCTCTCTTCTTAAGGGACTTGTGAGGAATTTAAGTGTATATCCACCAAAATGGAGACTTCGAGTGCAGAAACTCCTTTCAATGCCATTACACCTCCTGTGTTCAATTGAGAGAATTATCAAGTTTGGGCAATCAGAATGGAGGCTTATCTAGATGCAAATGATCTTTGGGAGGCTGTTGAGGAAGACTACCAAGTGCTTCCACTACCCGACAATCCTACAGTGGCTCAAATGAAGAATTTCAAAGAAAGGAAGGCAAGGAAGTCCAGGGCAAAAAGCTGCTTGTTTGCTGCAGTTTCATCTTTAATTTTCACCAGAATCATGACCTTGAAAACAGCCTTGGATATATGGAACTATCTCAAGAAGGAGTACGAGGGAAATGAGAAGATCAAAGGAATGCAAGTGCTGAATCTGGTTAGAGAATTTGAGATGCAGAAAATGAAGGAATCTGAAACTATTAAAGAGTATTCAGATAGACTTCTCAATATCGTAAACAAGGTACGATTATTTGGTTCTGAATTTTCTGATACAAGAATAGTTCAAAAAATTCTTGTTATTGTCCCTGAAAGATTTGAAGCTACCATCTCTTCTTTGGAAAATGCTAAGGATCTGTCAAGGATTGGCTTGGCAGAATTGATACATGCTTTGCAAGCTCAAGAACAGAGAAGGCTCATGAGAAGTGAAGGTTCTGTTGAAGGAGCATTGGCTGCAAAGGTGCAAACAAACCAAGGATGGAAAGGGAAGTTCAAAGGAAACAAGAACAAAGGTTCAGATTCATCAAAGTCTGACTTTCCTCCTTGTAAGCACTGCAACAAAAAGGGTCATCCACCATCAAAATGCTGGAGGAGACCTGATGTGAAATGTGAGAAGTGCCAGAAAATGGGACATCATCAGAAAATATGCAAGAACAACATTCAGAAGGTTGTAGCTCAAGTTGATCTTCAGCAGAAAAATGTTATTCAAGTAGTTGATCATGAAGAGGAGCAACTATTTGTAGCTACTTGTCTTGCAGCAAGTCATTCAAGTGACAAGTGGCTCATTGACAGTGGTTGCACCAACCGCATGACATTTGACAGGGATCTATTCAAGAAGCTAGATACGTCATTCATTTCCAAAGTGAAAATTGGTAATGGAGAATGTATCGCAGTGAAAGGGAAAGGCAAAATTGCAGTGGAAACTTCAAAAGGTACAAAGCTTATCCGAGAAGTGTTATTTGTACCTAACATTAACCAAAATTTGCTGAGTGTTGGCCAGCTTCTTGAAAATGGTTTTAAAGTGGTTTTTGAGGGCAATCATTGCTTAATCAAAAACTCAAACGATGAAGATATGTTCAAAGTGAGAATGAAAGGGAAGAGTTTTGCACTAGATCCTCTACAGGCAAAGCAATCAGTCTACTCAGCAACAACAGTGAATGCAGAAATGTGGCATAGAAGGCTGGGTCATTTTCATCATAGAGCAGTGGTGAATATGCAAAAGAATGAACTTGTTCAAGGTTTGCCTAATCTTGAAGTTGAACTGCCAGAATGCAAGACTTGCCAATATGGAAAGCAATCAAGGCTTCCTTTCAAGAAAGCTACCTGGAGAGCATCAGAAAAACTTCAGTTGATTCATACTGATGTGGCTGGTCCACATAGAACTCCTTCACTTAATGGGAGTAAGTATTATCTGCTTTTCATTGATGATTCTAGCAGAATGTGCTGGATATATTTTCTCAGGTTCAAATCAGAAGTGGCTGGTGTGTTCTGGAAATTCAAGAACTGGATTGAAACACAAAGTGGCTGCAAAATTCAAACGTTGAGGTCTGATAATGGGAAGGAGTACACGTCTGCAACTTTCAGTGAGTTCTGTGAAGAGGCTGGAATTGAACATCAACTCACTGCTCCATATACTCCTCAGCAAAATGGAGTCAGTGAACGTAAAAATTGTACAGTGATGGAGATGGCCAGGTGCTTGCTTCATGAGAAGGAGTTGCCAAAAGAGTACTGGGCAGAGGCTGCTAACACTTCTGTGTTTCTGCTAAACAGACTTCCTACAAAGGCAGTTGAGGACACCTTTTGAGGCTTGGTATGGTTACAAACCTTCTTTAAAGAATTTAAAAGTGTTTGGCTGCTTGTGTTTCACTTATGTGCCTCAGATTAAAAGAGACAAGCTCGACAGAAAAGCTGAAGCTGGAATCTTTGTGGGATACAACTTAGTTTCAAAGGCTTATAGAGTTTTTCAACCTGATACAAAAAAAATTCTGATAAGCAGAGATGTGCATTTTATGGAAGATGCTAAATGGAATTGGAGAAAAGATCAGGCTGGTAAAATTCCAAGTCAAGATTCAAAGTTGCTAGAGCTGTCCGAATCTGATTTGGTTGATGATGAACCTATCAGAGGTACAAGATCACTTTCTGAAATCTATCAGAAGTGCAACATTGCAGTCCTGGAACCAGAAAATTTTCAGGAGGCAGAAAGAGATCCAAAATGGGTAGCTGCAATGAAGGAGGAGTTGAGCATGATTGAGAAAAATAAAACGTGGCAGCTGGTAAAACAGAAAGGTGATTGGAGTGAAATGGGTATTTAGAACAAAGCTGAATGGAGATGGCTCTATAAACAAGCATAAAGCAAGGCTTGTTGTGAAAGGTTATGCTCAAATCCCTGGTGTTGATTTTTCTGACACATTTGCTCCTGTTGCCAGAATTGAAACAATCAAGTTGCTGCTGGCCATTGCTGCTCAAAAGGGTTGGAAAGTGTACCAGTTAGATGTCAAGTCAGCATTTCTAAATGGTCTTCTTGATGAGGAGATCTACGTAGAACA